CAGCTCGTCGTGCCATTGCTCTTTGTTAGGGATTACACAGAGCGGCGGAACGATTCAACTCGAGATGACGTTGATGGTTCGGAAATGGAGTGGTAAAGCTTTGAGATTTGTTCAGCCTCGTTTCTCTGAGAAAGGTACTTTGAGAACTTGTTTATTCTACAGCCCATACGAATTCTTGTCTTGCTGCGAAAGAGACTTCTCTTCTGGTCTCAGCGATAAAAATCTCTGTTACAGAGAGAGATTGAGAGGTGGGCTTGTCGATATTAAGAAAGATGATGCTATTGAACTGTTTCAGGAAATGCTTCGTTCTCGTCCTCTTCCCACTGTCATAGATTTCAATAGATTGTTTAGTGGCATCGCTAGGACAAGACAATACGATCTCGTGTTAGGTCTCTGCAAGAAGATGGAAATACAGGGGATTGCGCATGACCCCTACACTCTGAGTATTATGATCAATTGCTTCTGCCGGCGCCGGAGACTCGGTTTTGCTTTCTCTCTTGTGGGAAAGATGACGAAACTTGGGTATGAGCCTGACACAATCACGTTTTCAACTTTGATAAACGGATTATGTCTTGAGGGTAGAGTTTCTGAAGCTTTGGAATTATTTGATCGAATGGTAGAATTGAGTCTCAAATCCGATCTCATAATGCTTAACACTCTAATCAATGGACTTTGTCTCAAAGGTAGAGTGTCTGAAGCGGTAGATTTAATCGATCGAATGGTGGAAWWRGGCTYTCAACCSGATSSAWMTACCTATGGTCCGATTTTAAACAGAACATGCAAGTCGGGGAACACTGCCTTGGCTTTGGATTTGCTCAGAAAGATGGAAAAAGGAAAGATCAAGCTCGGAGTAGTCCAATACAATATCATCATTGATAGTCTTTGCAAAGACGGGAGATTTGACGATGCACTCAACCTTTTCAATGAAATGGAAATGAAAGGGATCAAAGCAGATGTCTGTACCTACAACTCTCTCATTGGAGGCTTTTGTAACGCCGGTAGATGGAATGATGGTGCACAGTTGGTGTCGGAAATGATCACAAGGAAAATCACCCCGAACGTCATCACTTTTAATTTATTGATTGATAGTTTTGTGAAAGAAGGGAAGCTTCTAGAGGCCAAAGAATTGTACAGTGAGATGATTACAAGAGGTATAACTCCTGATACCATTACATATAATTCTTTGATAGATGGGTTTTACAAGGAGAACCGCCTAGACGAGGCCAATCAGATGCTGGATCTGATGGTTAGCAAGGGTTGCGACCCTAGTATCGTGACTTATAATATCCTTATAAACGGATATTTCAAGGCTAAGCGGGTTGACGATGGTATGAGACTTTTCCGAGAGATTTCTTTGAGAGGGCTGGTTGCCAACAGAATTACTTACAGCACTCTCATCCGAGGGTTTTGTCAATCAGGAAAACTTAAGGTTGCCCAAGAATTTTTCCAGGAGATGGTTTCTCGTGGTGTGCCGCCTGATATTGTAACTTATGGTATTTTGCTGGATGGTTTGTGTGACAATGGAGAGCTAGAGAAAGCGTTGGAAATACTTGAAAAAATGCAGAAGAGTAAGATTGATATTGATATTGGTATGTATAATATCATCATTCATGGGATGTGCAATGCTAATAAGGTGGAAGAGGCGTGGGATCTATTTTGTAGCCTCCCTTTCAAAGGAGTGAAAGCCGACGTCAAAACATACACCATAATGATTTCAGGATTGTGTAAGAAAGGCTCACTGTCTGAAGCGGACCTGTTGTTTAGAAAAATGAAAGCAGATGGGTATGCGCCAAACGATTGTACATACAACACAATAGTCCGAGCACATCTCCGAAGTAGGGACGTAATCAAGTCAGTCGAACTGATCGAAGAAATGAAGAGGTGTGGGTTCTGTGCAGATGCTTCCACTATGAAGATGGTTATGGATATGTTATCGGATGGTAGATTGGAGAAAAGCTTCTTGGATATGCTTTCTTAGAGAATTCTGTTATTGACATGATTACCGTCTCAAAGCATTGAAAGATAAAGTTGAAGTGGTCTTTTCTAAGAATTACATGCGACCACCAAGACTCAAATCCATTTTCCGGGCATGAAAGCAAAGAATTTTCACTTTGTTCATCTGTCTACTTTTGTTTTCTAGATTTGTCCAAGTAGTTTTCACTTGTATATATATTTTATCATCCAAGGAAAAAAAGTCTCTTGACCTTTATTTTTGCATACATTCTCGGATTGATTTGATGAGATTGTTTAGTTCCTCTGAAGTCGGAACAAGACTAAAACGTTTGCTCTGTTTTGTATTCTTTTCGCTACTTACTGAACTCCACTCCACGGAGATCCAATAAACCGAACCAAACCGGAGAGTAATCCAAACCAAAACGGATATGTTATGATTCTCTTCCCACCAGCCGGAGAGTAGCTCTTTCAGGCATTTCGTCGAACAGCTTCTGGGCGATACTGTTGTACATAGAGCTCGTCGTGCCATTGCTCTTTGTTAGGGTTTACACAGAGCGACGGAACGATTCGACTCGAGATGACGTTGGTGTTTCGGAAATGGAGTGGAAAAGCGTTGAGATTTATACAGCCTCGTTTCTCTGAGAAAGGTACTTTGAGAACTTGTTTATTCTACAGTCCATACGAATTCTTGTCTTGCTGCGAAAGAGACTTCTCTTCTGGTCTGAGTGATAGAAATCTCTCTTATAGAGAGAGATTGAGAAGTGGGCTTGTCGATATTAAGAAAGATGATGCTGTTGATTTGTTCCAAGAAATGCTTCGCTCTCGTCCTCTTCCCACTGTCATAGATTTCAATATGTTGTTTGGTGCCATTGCCAAAACAAAACAGTATGATCTTGTTTTAGCTCTCTGCAACCAAATGGAGTCTAAAGGTATTGCGTATGACATCTACAGTCTTAATATTGTGATCAATTGCTTTTGCCGGCGCCGGAAACTCGGTTTTGCTTTTTCAGTTATGGGAAAGATCATGAAACTTGGGTTTGAGCTTAACACAATCACGTTTTCAACTTTGATAAACGGATTGTGTCTCCAAGGTAGAGTTTCTGAAGCTGTCGGGTTAGTTGATCGAATGGTAGAAACGAGACTCAAACCCGATCTCATATTGCTTAACACTCTGATCAATGGACTTTGTCTCAAAGGTAGAGTGTCTGAAGCGGTAGATTTAATCGATCGAATGGTGGAAAATGGCCATCAACCGGATGCAAGTACCTATGGTCCGATTTTAAACAGAACATGCAAGTCGGGGAACACTGCCTTGGCTTTGGATTTGCTCAGAAAGATGGAAAAAAGAAAGATCAAGCTCGGAGTAGTCCCATACAGTATCGTTGTTGATGGTCTCTGCAAAGATGGGAGAGTGGACGATGCACTCAACCTTTTCAATGATATGGAAATGAATGGGATCAAAGCAGATGTCATTACCTACAACACTCTCATAGGAGGCATTTGTAACGCCGGTAGATGGAATGATGGTGCACAGCTGCTGACGGATATGATCTCAAGGAAAATCATCCCGGACGTCGTCACTTTTAATTTATTGATTGATAGTTTTGTGAAAGAAGAGAAGCTTCTAGAGGCTAAAGAATTGTACAATGAGATGGTTAGAAGAGGTATAACTCCTGATACTTTTACATATAGTTCTTTGATAGATGGCTTTTGCAAGGAGAACCGCCTGGATGAGGCCAATCAGATACTGGATCTGATGGTTAGCAAGGGATGTGATCCTGATATCGTGGCTTATAATACCCTTATAAACGGATATTGTAAGGCTAAGCTGGTTGACGATGGTATGAGACTTTTCCGAGAGATTTCTTTGAGAGGGCTGGTTGCCAACACAATTACTTATAGCACTCTCATGCAAGGGTTTTGTCAATCGGGAAAACTTAAGGTTGCCCAAGAACTTTTCCAGGAGATGGTTTCACGTGGTGTGCCGCCCAGTGTCGTTACTTATGGTATTTTGCTAGATGGGTTGTGTGACAATGGAGAGATAGAAAAAGCATTGGAAATATTTGAAAAAATGCAAAAGAGTAAGATGGATCTTGGTATTGGTATCTACAGTATCATCATTCACGGGATGTGCAATGCTGGTAAGGTGGATGAAGCATGGGATATATTCAGTAGTCTAACTCTTAGAGGAGTGAAGCCCGATGTTAAGGCATACACCACAATGATTTCAGGATTGTGTAAGAAATGCTCACTGTCTGAAGTAGACCTGTTGTTCAGAAGAATGAAAGAGGATGGGTATGTGCCAGATGACTGTACGTACAACACACTCATCAGGGGACATCTCCGAGGTAGGGACGTTATTAAGTCAGCTGAACTGATCGAAGAAATGAAGAGGCGTGGGTTGTGTGCAGATGCTTTTACTATGAAGATGGTTATGGATATGTTATCGGATGGTAGATTGGAGAAAAGCTTTTTGGATATGCTTTCTTAGAATTTTGGTATTTACATCATTACTGACTATTGGAATGGTGTTTGTCAAAGATGTTAGACGGCAGTTACGTCAGATTTAAGCAGAAAATATCCGAAGGTTAGTATTGTTTCATGACCAGAAGATTCCATGAACCATTGTATGGTTGTTCCATGAAAATATCCAAATGTTCTTACAATTCAAGTCTCCATGGTTTTATAGTTGAATCTTGTTTTCTCTGATACATTATTCTTTTCTCTATGATATCTCTGGAATTAAAAAGAGAATAAAGTGAAAATTCAATAGAACCAACTTACTATTTATTTATGAAAGTAATGAAGACCCTTTTTCGATACCTGGAAAAACAAAAACAAAACTATATATTATTATGTGTAGATGTAATACTCTTTTCTTTTATATAGAGTGATTTAGAAATGGTAACTCAAAAACAACCAGAAAGAAAAGAGTAAATTCAAAGCTTCTTCTTGTAACCCCATGGATTGTTGTTTGCCCAATTCCACTGATCTCTGCACATCTCATCCACTCCATATTTTGCCCTAATTTACAATACAAAACCAAATCAAACTTCTTTTTCAACAAGTTAACCCCTAAAACCAATCGTTACTGGTAAAAGAGTTAACTTACTTCCAGCCAAGTTCTTTCTCAGCTTTCTCCGTTGAAGCATAGACTTCCGTTGCATCTCCTGACCGTCTCGGACAGAGCTTGATAGGTATTTTCTGCAAATGTG